GTTCTGTGCAGGTATTTACAGACTTTAGTGTAAATCAAGTTTCCCTCTTTTACTTTTAATCAAAATGATACATCTCTTCCTGCTTTTTTTTTTAATTATGTTGTAAAACAGGATGTGTTTCCCCTTTATTTATTCTTGTGTAAACAGGACATGTCTCCCCACCCCTTATTTTTTTTACTCTAGTGTAAATGGGACACATGTCTTCCTGTTTTTTTACTATAGCATAGACAAGACATGTCTCTATTTTTTATTTTTTTACTCTAGCATAAACAAGACGTGTCTCCCCTTTTTTATTTTTACTCTAGCATAAATAGGACTTGTATGAAGGGGGCTATGCTGATAACACACGTATTCATAGTTGGGATAAAAATGATCTTGAACAGAAAATCAACATCCTCTATCAAATGTTCAAAGAAATAGGAGTTAAGATAAACCTTTCCAAAACAGAAACTATGATCTAGAATTGGAATGAAAGCAGTGATGGCTCCTCCAGTGAATCCATCATAAATATACAGGATGTGGAATTAGTAAATAATAAACATTTCAGATACCTCAGCGTATGGATCGATTATAACAAATTAAGTATAGGAGAAAAGGAAATTGAACAGAGAATAGGCTGTGCCAGAAGTAGTTTCACTCAACATCTCAAATTGCTACAAAACCAAAATATCAACCTGAAAACACTAGTCATGTTCTTAAATAGACTTGTCAGACTTTAATATGGATGTCATGCATAGTGTCAAACCCATTCAGGAATATGTAAACTGTCGAATGTGTACAATTTTTTTCCTAAGATCAGTGGTGAAAAAAGGCTTTGAGTGAGTGAATGCTGAGGGTCTTGGCAGAGATCATCCCTCTTTGAAAATTGTGAACTGGTGTTACAAAATCACAAACAACTATACCAAATAACAGAAACCACATCACTTGAGGACTACCAACAGCAGAAACAACTAAATTGGATGACACATAACTCGAAGAGAAAATAATGACATAATCAAGATGTTAACAACATTCTACACCACTTCAAATAAATGGCCAGGAAGGAAATCCCTGTCAATACTGATAAATGATAACCACTACTGGACTTGAGAAACTAGTTTTCCTGAAAAAAATTTTTTAAGAGAAAGATTTTATAAAATTCAACCAAGAAACAGTACTGATTGCTCAGTCAATGAATGCCAAATATTTCTTTGTAGGGAAATGAAGAATATTACTGTTACCTTTCTGCCGATTTCATTGTGATTTTTGTCTTATAAGATATTTGACATTAAATAACCCAACAATAGTTCATATGACATTAAAATAATCACCCTATCCTAAAGTTCATAAGAATCAAGAATTGGCAGAGAATTTAAAATCTTCTAGGAATTTGAATGCTTTGATTTACACAATTCCAGGCTGCCCAAAGAGCTAGCACCTGCCATCTTGCATGCCATAGGTAACTGGTGATGCAGACTAAAAACCTTTGATTATCTATATATACAGGGTGCGATGGCTAAATTGTCGTCCAAATTATGCAAAAATGGAAATAACAGACATCTCATTTTAATAGCTTATTTATCAAAATTCCACAAAAATATCTTTAAATGCTAAAGAGTAAATTTAATAGATAAAATCGCCATTGTCTCCAACCATGACCTCCAGATGACTTTGGAATCTCCTGCATCTCTTCTGGACTGTCTCCTTGTTTAAGTTGGTGAATGCTACTATAATCCTTGCCTTCAGTTTATCTTTGGTATTACAAGGAATTTTGTTAGTCCCTTGCTCAACTGTGCCCTACACATAATAATCAAGGGGGTTGCAGTCTGGGGAGTTAGGTGGCCAAATATAAGCAGTGATGTGGTCGTAGAAATTATATGACAGCCATGACTGGGTTCTCCTGCTTATGTGGCATGGTGCAGATTCCTGTTGCCAGATATAGGGTCTTCCAGCAGCCAGCCTCTTGATCCAAAGCAGCACTACCTCCTCAAGGCACTTGAAGTAGGTTTCCATCTCAAGTCTGAGGCCCTCAGCAACAAATTCGGGAGTTCTTTTCTTATCAGAACGATCAGAGTGAGTTTTTCAAGCCGCTGTACCATCGTAATCACCATTAGACTCATCCATCTCTTTCCGAATCCTCTTCACTGTCAGATTGATGCCCAAACACTCTGAAATGTTTATATTGGAGCTTTCAACATGAATGCCAAGCAATACAGCATGTTGTTTCCAAATTTCTGGTGGAGTGAATTGTGTAATTGTGATCTTTTTCTCACAGACTGTTCCCAACTGATCCAACTATACTCTGCAGTCAACAAAATCAAAAACAAACAACATACATGCGTGAAATCAAAAATATAAAATGGCAACAATTTACTCCTTGCACCCTGTATAAATACTTTGGATATGATATTAAACTCTGGCATTTTGTTTCTAATTACATAGGTGTTATATAAAACTTAATATATCAGGTCATCCCATAAGTTCTGTCCAAATTTTGAATAAAGAAAACAAGTGACCAAATGTTACATTTAATTACAGATTCAATCAACAATGTATTTTCCCTGATTATCTATGACTTCCTTCCATCTATTAACAAGCTTACTAATTCCATTACTGTAAAATTCTTTTGGCTTTGATTGAAGAATTCACAAATGTCAGTTTTAACCTCTTCCCGTGTTACAAAAAGCTGTTTCTTCCAAATGATTCTGTAAGCTCTGAAACAAATGGTAGTCTGAAGGAGCAAGATCGGGAGAATAAGGTGGATGAGGAATTTTCTCCCAACCAAGTTCTTCGATCTTTTGTCACGTGATTCTTGCTGTATGTGGGGTGCATTGTCCTGATGAAACATCACCCCTTTTCGATTCCACTAGAGCAGGTCTTTTTTTCCTCAAAGCTTGGGTCAAACGCTCTAATTGCTGACAGTATATTTGAGCATTAATTGTTGCATTAGGTGATAAGAATTTAAAGTGGATTATTCCTTGGCAATCCCACCAGATTGAAAGAAGAACCTTTTGCCCATGAAGTTCCTTTCTCGGCTGTGGCTGGCGTCCTTCCCCTTTACCAAGCCACTGTCTACAGCACTTAACATTTCGATAAAAGATCCATTTTTCGTCACCAGTCCCAAGTCTATCCACAAAAGGTGAAATAAGTTGGCGAGAATGGAGAGAAAAGCAGATGTCAACTCGGGATTTGAGGTTGTTTTCAGACAATTTATGAGGCACCCATTTTCCAAGTTTAGGAACTTTTCCAAGTTGTTGAAGATGACGATGAACAGTTGTATGGTTTGAACTGAGAACCACTGCCAATTCCTCAACTGATAAAGCAGGATTTTCTTCAAGGGCTACTTCAAGAAGCTATTCATCAAACTAAACTGGACGTCCGTTCGATCTTCAACTTCAAGGGGGAAATCTCCCACCTCTGAATTTTGCAAACCATCTTCTGCAAGTTCTTTCATTCACACATTCTTCTCCATAAACTGAGTGAATGTTTCTAGCCGCTTCGGCTGCTGAGTTTCCTTTCTTGAACTCATAAAGCATTATGTGCCTCAAATGATTCTTGGGTACTTCCATGTTAGCATGGTTTTAATCAAATAAAATTTAATTTTATTGTTCTCTGAAATAAAATTTGATCAGTTTAAATGCATCTAAACATAAAAATAATGTTCAGCTCCATTAGACATTATAAAATACTCTTTAAATTTCGTTCATTTTAACAAAAAGTTAAAATTCGGACAGATGACCTGATAGTTAAATTTCCCAGAATAATTCTGAAGATAAAACAAATTGATATAAAAATAACCATTGGAAAAAAGTCTTAATTTTTACTGACATGTTTTGTCTTCCAATTTTATAAAAGCAACAATGAATTATTCTGGGAAATTTAACTATATAGTCAACATGGAAAACAAACTCTTAGTAAAAAGGAAGTTACAAACATCCAGAAAGAGGCTTACACAGGAGTGGCTCTTTTTTAAATTTTGGATTTGATGTAACTATGACAACAAAACATTTCACTTTCATTGTTTACTTTGATAAAGTCAGAAGATGAAACACACTGGCAAGAACTAAGATTTTATCCAATTGTCAGTTTTATAAAACTTAATGTAACATAAATTCATATTTAAATAATACCGTATATATTCATCTATAAGCCTACTTCATCTATAATGTGACCTGAATTTTTTTTCTTTTTTTTCTTTTTTTTTTGTGAAAAACTTGACTTTTTTTAATAATGCACATGTATAATGCTACCCCATTTTCTGAGCAATATTATTAGGCCAGCTGTAGTCAAATATTTCAGTACTGGGCATCATCCTCGACATGTTTTATAGCAAATAAATGGTCTTCATTCTTTTTTGTACAAAGCTACCCCAAAATAGTGAGAAAAACCACTTACCATAAAATATCTGCTATGAAAGGGAAAA